GTGGCTCACAGACCTGTGGTTGATGATGCGGTGTACCACCATCCACTCAGGCTTGATTCCGTAGCGGAAGAAGCGCTCCTCCATGGCAGCGTACTGTGGGTCCTTAGCCCTTCTCTTCTCGCTCTTGCTATCTTCCTCTCCCGAGCCGTAGTCCAGCCCGGGGGGCTCATCCATGTCGTTCTTCCGCTGGTAATTCCGGAACATAACTGAGTGGTAGATCTCCAGCTGGGAGAAACACACGGGAAGACAGGCAAGGAGAGAGAGAGAGAGAGAGAGAGAGAGAGAGAGAGAGAGAAAGGACAGAGAAACAGCTTAATTCACTGAGGCAAAATTAAACCGTAATTCATTTAGGCCAACAAGTACTAATTATTATATTTATCAGCAACATCCTTTCAGAAGCTCACTGGCTCTGCCCTGGGGAGCAGACATTCCAGGTAAATTAACCACGTTTGGACAGGAGAGCCAGAACAGAAGAGGGGTTGTGAACAAAGGGAGCTCAATTTGCATTGCTGTGATTATTCTCTTCTTCAGTACGTTACTGATCCAAGGATCCTCATGAGTTATTACATGGGATCCTTCCTGAAACCAACCCTCCCAACCTGGACGGGCAGCTTGTTCCAGAGTCTCACTACTCTTGGCGTAAAAAGATGTGCTTCTTGCTCTTAGTGCTGAATTCACTGTTGCTGAATTTCCACGGGTCGCTTTTTCATTGTTGATGGTGAAGATACCTCCTGGGTAACAGGCATTTGTACTCGTACCCCAACTCTAGAATATCTCCGGGAATATGATAAAAGTTACAAGACAGTGGAGGCCATCAGCATCTTACAGATGTCATCACTCCCTTTCTTAAAAGACAGGATCAAACATATAGCGCACCCGAGATGTTAGGTCCAGATTCACACAATGTGAGTCTTAAAATCTAAATGTAATTGTTTTTTGTGTTCTGGGGTTCTTGTACTGCTGCTGCTTATCTTGAAGGGTCACCTAAGTTGACATAGTAAATGCCATTCAGGTATTTTGAATACCTGAGTCAAGTCCTTGCAATGTTATCGGTTTCAAACTGAAAAAGATCCAGGGATAATTCTAGTAGTCGTAGCCAGTTTTGCAATGCCTCCAGAGAAGCAATATCTTTCTTGTATTGTGGTGACCAAAACTGTTCGCAATATTCTAAGCGCTGCCACTGTATCCTTCTGTAAGCTCTAGTACAACGCCCCTCTTTATAAATAGCACTGTTGAGGTCTCCACTGTCAATGAAAAGCTGTTCTCCATTGACTTCTCTGGTTACATAAAGACCGGTTTATTCTTATCCAGCAAGGTTTCCCTTCTTAATCAAAAAAAAAGTTTAAGGCTTGCTAAAACATAAGGTTTACCTGCAGCTCAGTGACCCAGGTGCAGTGCCAGTAGGACTGTCCCATCAGCTTCACAAAGAACTCCCTCTCGGGCCGACCTTGCAGTGGTTTCGGTGGGGGGTCCTGGGGGTCAGCGTCAGGGGGTGGGGGTACTGGTATCGGGGGTGGAGGCTCGCCCCAGCGCCAGTGCAGGATCTTCTGGACCCGGCCGTTGATGGGGGGGCACTACGTGGCAGACAAGAGGATTATAAAAATACAAGACACCCCTTTTACAAGGGCTGAGGTGTTACCTAAACTCAGCATGCAAAAGGGAAACGCAGTTCTGAGAATGCATATTGGACTTTATTACAGGCACACCCCTTCTTCATTATTGGGGTATCTTTACCAGAGGACTGGGGGAAAGGACAGAAAAATGGAATTGGCTGGAAGTACATGTTCATCACAATCTACAGCAGTGGGGGATTACAATTTAAGGGAGAGGGGCTCAGTGATGTGATGTGACTGGCTGAGAGAGGGTGTCACTCACTGTGCAGCGTGGGCACAACCACTCCCCGTTGGGTATCTCGGGCAGGGGGGGGTTCAGGCAGTGGATGTGGTAGGAGGAGGGGCAGGTGTCGCAACACAGCAGCTCCCCTCCGTCCTTGCAGACCCGGCAGAACTCCATGTGGTCATCCTCCTCCTCCTCCGCCCCTTCGCACTCCTCCACCTCCTCCTCAAACTCCTCAAACTCATCCTCCTTCGCCTCCCATTGGATCCCCTCCTTCTCCTGGGGACAGACGCAGAGGCAGGGAGTGAGTGAGGAGCAATACAGAAACACAAACAGTGCAGTATATCACACTACCACACTAACACTCTGTTGAGAGGGACTGAGACTGAGGGGTAGCGCTGCTGCACATTAATACTGCACTTAGAGAGAGATACAAAGAGGGGGAGGAAGGAACAGTGGATGTCTGGTATGAAGGGGCTTCAATCTGGAAAACAGAAGGACTTAGGGTAGATATTTCTGGGCAAATATTCAAGAGCAGATTTTGCAGAGTTGATGGTTAGGGGCAGGTCAGTTGCGGATGGCGGTACACGTGACAGGGTACATGGGCTTGGGCAGATGGAGAGGAAGAACTGAGCTAGAATAGGCTGGAAGGGTAGATGTGGCAGGACATGCGAGGCAGGGAGGGAAAGGGCAGACTCACGCAGTGGGGGCAGCTCCACTTGCCCTCAGGTGCTCTCTCCAGCTCGGGCTCCAGGCACACCAGGTGGTAGGCACGGGGGCAGGTGTCACACAGGATGATCTCGCCGCCCTGCTGGCAGACCTCGCAATAGTCCTGGTGATCTGTCTCATAGCCATCACCCTCCTCCTCTCCCACCACCGCTGGAGAGAGGGATGAGAGAGGGAAAGAGAGCTTAAATCATACTAAGATCTTTGGTAATGTATAATACTACACTGAAAAAACAGACTGTGTGAGGGAGAGAGAAAGCAAGAGAGAGCCCGAGACAGTGAGAATGAACTCCACCGTACACTGAGTCCGAGAGACAGTGCACAGTGACAGTGCACAGTGATTGCAGTACCACTGATCCTAAGGCACAGGGCCAGAGTAAGATACAGCGAAAGGGATCTTACTTTTCTTCTTCTTTTTGGGTCGGCCCCTCTTGGCCTTCTTGGCCCGGCCAGAAGTGTCGGAGCGCATCGACGAGCTGTGCACGCTGGAGTTCTCCAGGTCCGACTCCTCCTCTAACTCTGCCTCATCACTCTGGGGGGGGGGCAGGAGGTGGAAAGATCGGAGGATCAGAGCACTGCGAACACACATCCTTTGCGACACGCACGCTTCGGAAACCGCAATATGACAAGTACAAAGAGTAACAGTGCGAGACGAGGGCAAGAGAGCGAGAGACAGATGGTACTGAAAACGAGAGGGAGAGTGAAAACAAGAGACAGGCACAGAGAACTCAAGGGCCTCACAGAGGTGCTCTTCTTCCTCTTGGTTCCCAGCATGCCCAGTTTAATACGCAGAGGTGCCATCTTCTTGCCCTTTGCCTTCTTCTTCTCAGGGATGCGAGGACTCTTACTGCGCTTCTTATAGCCGGGACCTGCAGGCACAGCGGGGGCAGAGAGGAGACCCACAGGCTGTGAATTTTTCATGAATCCGGTGATACTGCTCAGTTCAGTTTTCTCAATTACAGTTCTGTTTTCATACTTATGGCCTGGAAACAAGAGATAAGATCACTTTATTAGCCACATACAATTTCTTGCATTAGGAATTCGTCTTTTCGCTTACACCAGCTTGCTCTCTACGAGACACACAGACAGGGAGAGAGAAGCTTGGGGTCAGAGCGCAGGGTCAGCCATTCATACAACACCCCCGGAGCAGCTGGGGTTAAGGGCCTTGCTCAGGGGCCCGATGGAGTAGGATTCCTCTGCTGGCCACGGGATTTGAACAGGCAACCTTCCAGCCACAGACGCAGATCCTGAGCCACAGAGACACCGCACCGCCAACACCCAGGTATGAATAAAAACCTTTTCATTCCCTCATGGAGTGTTTGGATTCCTCCAGTTACCTTTGCCTTCTTTGGTCTTGGCCTTGCGCAGGGGAGGGGGCTGAGGCGGTTGCTCGGGTGACGGCGTCGGCGCGGAGACCTGCTCGGCAACGGCGGCAGCAGCGGCGGCGGCAGCAGCAGCCACAGCGGCAGCAGACCCCTTGAAGGGGTTGTTGGCACTGAATTCACGCCACTTGGCACCTAGGATGGTCATCATCTTGGACATGGGGATTTTGGGGTTCTTTTTGGCGATCATGGGCCTGAAAATGAACAAGAAAGACTTACTGGCCAGCCACCCTCTACCCATTTCTCAGTTGTACAGGCTTCAGGATGTGAATGTAGCAATTCCTGTACTGCATGAGGACAATTATCCAACATACCCACTGAGCGATTCAGGGAGGAATCTGGATGACTACTCCCAACTCTACCCCCCCATGGTATTCCACCAGCGGTGCCCTGACACCATGGGAATCCCTGTCACAGGCAGCTGATTGCATGGCCCAAACTTGATCCATAAAGCTCAACTGCCACTCAGAACTGCCTCCCAGGGATTCATTTCAGACTCCCCACCCTCTGTGAAGCAGGTGATCCCCCTCGACTACCTCATAAACTGGCTGAAGGCCTTGTAATTGGTGAGGGTGCGGTAGTCCTCGTCCGTGAACACGTGGTCAACGTCCTCCAGCCCCCAGTCTTGCAGGAGCTGACCAGAAGACTTCTGCTCCACCTGCTGAGAGAGACGTGTGCACAGGCCAGTGAGCATCTGAAAGAACAGATGCTTGAAATGGAGAAAGTGAGCAAATTACGAATTCAGTTTAAGGTGTAGTTAATTCACAGGTCTCAGCTAGAAAACACACGGAGAGCCAATCACGGATAAGAGGAACATTCGGCAAGCCAATCAGGGTATACTTAGAGATTCAACACCCTAATCAGGTAGCACACAATGACACGTTTTCAACATGCCAAGGTGCATTTACAGAGTCATGAACCCAATCAGGGAACTTCAATACAAACAGGCTGACACTTGCTATAACATGTTACACGGGTAATGCCACAGCAATGGGAGATAACAGAACCGTATTACAGAATGCTAGCAACATGCGTTATGTGCTGTAGTACAACACAGCACTTCACTGTGACAGAGGAGACAAGTCCTTAACAAGCACTTACCTCATTCCTCCTCACAGAGCAACAGCACAAACAGCCCACACACTGACCTTTGTGCCTTCATCCCGGGCGCCATCCTCATCCTCTTTTTTCTTGCGCTTGGTCTTCTTCTCTTTCTTCTCCTTGTGCTTCTTCCTCTTCTTCTTCCCGCCGCCTGCGTAGTCGCTGGCGCCGCTGTCCGACTGCTCCCCGTACTCCCTGTTCGAGTCCCCCTCCACCTCGCTGTCCTGGGGGGGAGAAGAGGGGGGGGAAGAGTTAGTGACGGGGCAGAGAGAGAGGAAGGGGAGAGGCCAAGAGATGATGGAGGAGGAGGAGGAGGAGGAGGGCCGGTCTTACAAGTTTCTTGCGCTTCCGGGGCTTGGGTGCCTTGCCATCCTTCGGCTCCTTCTTCTTCTTGGGGCCGCGTTTCTTCTTCCTGGGGGCCGCTTCCGTGTCCGACTGCTCCCTGACCACCTCGGCCTCCTCTGCCCGGGGTAGGAGAGGGACAGGGGTGAGAATGGGAGGGGGGAGGGTTCACGAGCAGAAACAAAGAGCAGGCGGGCAGGCAGGCTCAGGATCGAAACCACAGAGGCCCAGCTCTGCGCACCGAGAGGGGTCTGGGATGTGCCTCCCAGTTCAGAGCAGCAGATGACCACGACAGTTCAGGCATCGCGATCGTGTTTTCCTCCAGAGGATCTGAATGAGCCCGAGAGAAACAAGTGACCCTTCCAAACCCAACACCCCCAGCCTTTGAGGTCTGGAAGCCATCAAACTCTCCACTTCTCTGTTGGGAGAAGCTCAGATAAAGGGCATTACCTGTGGTGTTTCATTTTACTATTTACCCCCTCCTCTTACCCTAAAATGGCCTAAAATTAAGCTAACACCCCAATGACTGGAGCTGGGAATGCTTGCTCTTTACTAATTAAACAGCACCAAGTGAGAAAAAGTAAAAAATAAAACCAGCGGTTTAGCAGGCCAAAAACAGAAAACAAATACTGCCTGATGAATGAATTCATGTTTTGAAATGACAGAATTAGTGGACTACAACTAATACAGGAACCTGTATTAGGGCTACTGCTCTTTTGCAAAGCAGTCAGGGTTACAGATACCATTTCAATACTGGGCATATTCCTGCCACTTAGTCAGGAATGTAGAGATCAGAATCAAGCTTTAAACATAAGAAGGGAAATGCCGACTTGAAGAAGTTATCTCTGAAAACGACTTGTTAGCTGTTCATGTCAACTGATTATTTGCATCTTCTAGTCACTGTGTGAAATCAACGCAAATGGGTAAAGAGAACTTTAGGGTAATAATCTGATTAAATAAATTCAATCTAATCTAAGGATGTTATGGGAAATTTGCACAATGTTCTCACGGGTGTTACTTAGAATACAGTGCAAATTCTTGTTACCATGCTACAAAACCAATATTGTGATTCTGGAATCAGAACAGACAAGAATAAGAAGGTAAACTTCAGGCTCAATGTAACATTCTACTCTGACAGGCTAAAATATCTGAGTTTAAAATAACTGAGTCTTGAACGGGGAAGACTATGAGGGACCAGATTCAAGCTCCTCAAATGGAGCATTCCAAGGGTCTCAACAGGTGAAGGATGAGCAAAGGCTGATCTCTGTTATCACGGGTTTGAGTCTGGGCCTTATTATCAGCCAACCGTGACAAAGATTCCCTATGAAATGGTGCTCAGGAACAGGGCTAATTAATCAAGGGCAGGGCAGGATTAAACATCTGGGGTTCTCTGAGGCCCCCTGGGTGCTTGCAGGAATGCAGTTCTGGGAGTGAGGACAGGACCCCTCCTCTATCTGGCGCTGAACCTCCGGTACGCGGCTGTACTTCACGTGACATGTTAAAAGACTAATGGCACGAAGGTGGAAGGTTTGGAGGAATCTGCATCGACTTCCTCATTGCCCTTCTCCCCTGTGTGCGGCTGCAGTGTTCCAGTGCTCGCAGCTGTGAGCTTAGACATGAAAAGCACACAACTGGCTATTCCAAAACCAGAGAGTACAACCAAAAAACTCCAATGACTTCATTTTGAATCTTTGCAAGTCTAAATTTTATAAACAAGGCTCAAATGCATTGACAAAGTAAACCCAATGATGTGCTTCAAAACTAACAGTGCATTTGGGACCAGAGCTAAGGAGGCTCGTAGTTACAGAAAGGGTTGTGATATCCTGGCTTCTTTCAGGATGAAGCTGAGGATGGATGGATAAGGTCTTAGACCAATTAGCTATGAGCAACCACTCTAGGTGGGTCAAACAGCCTTCTTGTTTATCCTCTCTTATGGAATTCTTCAAGTGATCTTACCTTTGTATTTAAAGGGTTAATTTTCTGGCTGTCCATCCTTTTTTTTTTTTTATTGGCAATACCAATTTTCACCTGACAATAGCCAACAAGCCAGGAGAGCAGATACACTGGGAAAACGAGCACACAGACACCTCCCTTCACCCAAGCTGCTATTGACTAAACCAAAAAAAAGTAATATAAGTGAAGAAATTCTTAAAAGAAGCGGCTAAACTCTCCAGTTGCTTTCAAGAAACAACCAGGTCAAATTTCTGAGACTGATTATTATAAATAATTCCCTACACATATATAGCGCTTTTCTGGACACTCTACTCAAAGCGCTTTACAGGTAATGTGGACTCCCCTCCACCACCAGCAGTGTGCAGCCCCACCTGGATGATGTGACGGCAACTCCCCACACACCAGCTATCAGTGGGGAGGAGAACAGATTTAAGAAGCCAGTTCATAGAAGGGGATTATTTGGAGACCATGATTGGTAGAGGCCGGGGGAAATTTGGTAGAGGTAACACTTCTACTGTTTTTGAGAAACTGGAATTTTTAATTAACACAGAGAGTCAGGACTTCAGTTTTACGTCTCATCTGAAGGACAGCGCCTTTTTACTGTATAGTGCCCCCATCGCTATACCGGGGCATTAGGACCCACACAGACCTCAGGGTGAGCGCCCCCTACTGGCCCCTCTAACAACTCTTCCAGCAGCAACCTGCTGGAGGTCTCCATCCAGGTACTGACCTGGCTCACACCTGCTGAGCTGCAGCGTGATATTAACTGCTGAGCAAACGGTAAATGCACGATGGACCAAATCGACCCGGGCTCATTGGTGACATTTCTGATATTCTTACTGGTTTGTATGCAGACCAGTCACAGGCACCCGGCAGCCCACCAAAACTTCCATCAACATTGGGCCCAGATCCTGAGTCCAGGGAGCTGGTATTTGTATCTAACATGCTAATACTGCAGCATACTGGAGTTCTGGGTGCCTGAGTCCAGCTAAAGGACCATTTTCCAACACCGCCATTAGACACAAACAAATGGATTGCAATAGCAAGCAAGCGCGACTGATCACCGATTAACAATTAAAACCATTATACAACAAGAAAAAATCATTTCAGACAATTTATTCTGGGGTAATCCATTTATTTCACAATGGATTTTATAAAAAGTCTTTCATGTCAATGTTAGGCCCACCGTCTGATTTAGGGCATTTTCAATTTGTATGCCGAAGACAAACTTAATTTAAACTTAACAAAAACTTAACACCATTAAAAAAAAACTTTCATTTAAGCGACAAAAAACAGTTATGTGAGAAGCATAATTAAGACGTATTGTTGTTGGTGCCTGTTTAAGAGGCGAGCTAAAATTCCAGGATCTTAAAATATTATGTCAAAACTTAGTCCCACAAACATCCCGGTCCTGCGGATTGAGAGAAGTAAAAAACATGCCATTCGTACAACACGGAAACATAAAACTAAAAAAAACCCAAAAGAATAAATTAAATCAGTTTCCGGCTTCACACAAAAAGCATTACAGTTAAGCTCAACCAACGAACCGGTCTTTCATTTTAGCTCCGCTTACCTACGTTTAACTGAAATGAACGGAGGATAAATTCACCGAGTTGAAACTCGAAACACCTCAACTATTTTAAGAGCAGCATTTTTTTCTGAAGTGTTTGAACAATGAATAATAAACAAATTCCTTTAGTGGGTGTTCTCCCATACTCACAAAAACTCTCCTGGGTCTTTTTTTTCTCAGCGTTGACACGACTGTAGTTTTTACCGCGCTGCAGAAGGGCGCCAATCGTGTTTCGTCTTTTGCCTGTTAATTCGTATTTTCCCCCCTTTTGTTTTACAGCCACGTTTTTCCATCGTGTACGTGATGTGCCAATCTCTGTCGTGTTTACAAGGCTTTCGGAGGCTGCTGAAATTTACTGGCCGCAGGCGACGCAATGGAGCTCGCGACTAGGGGGGGAGGGGTAGACACTTCTCTCACGCCGAAGTACAGAGCGGAGCCAGAGGGGTTGGGTGTCTACTCAAACCCGCAGGCTTTCAGCGGCCCGCCGCGCTCAGTTGGTGTAACTAGGCGATGAGACGCCACAGTTTATATCCGCCACCTGCGGCCAGCCAGACACAAAGTTACAGCTGGGTCAGGATGCAGGGGTTATCGGGGGACACGGACTGTGTCTCGCCAAACCTGTTCTCTTTTTCTATTGGGGGGCAATATTTGAAAGATGGTAGGCGAACCTCGCCCTAATGACACGGTGGTTGTCTCCCTGTTTCTGTGTCTGCCGAATGCAAAAGGTTTCTGGTTGTTTTCTACTGTTTTTTCTTGAGGTAACGTTATCAAATACTCTTTTTTAAAAAAAGCCTACATCTAAAGATCCTGGTACACAAATATGCTTGTGAAACTACATTTTTACAAGTTATTTATATTCATATAACTTGTTTTTTAGTGGCAGAACCCACCCCAGCGTTATCGAAATTGAATATCACTTGTGTATATAAATAAAGATTTGAATTCACTGTTTTTTTTAACTGTATGTACTATTTACTGTTTTTAATAATTTAATTTAATATTACAATATATAAAGGTCATATTAAACGTACGTATAGCCTATATACATCTAGGTATTTTCAATACATTAAATATGCGAAATTAACTCATTTCATAGTTTTGGTTACTTCCGAATGTATTCATTCAATCGACACCGACATTAATAGCAATATAACTGCAGATTTTAAGAAATATGGGGCTGTTTCTCATTTTATGAACTTTAAACATCTCGAAGGTTCGGGGGGTGAAGCAGACAGGTCTTTTATGTGTTTATGCATCGCTGTTCTCGGGTTTCTCTCTCTCCTGTAGAGAAAGAAACCATCTGATCTGTATAATTGGGGGTCGCTTGGGAGATCCCCCACACAGACAGCACTGGAAGGAAAAACACTATCTCGCAGTGTGGTTTGTGTACGCTCTCACCCGCAACAGTTACAGACAGCGGGGAGGGTCAGCGGCGTGTCAGTGACTCTCACACTCGGCACACACGCACCAACACCCTCTTTCATGAATCCGGTCACTCCAGAATCCTCCTCCCTCCAAAATAAAACATTTTTTTTCTACATTTACCAACAAAAACAACAAAATAGGAAGGTACAGACGTGTAGGTCACGGCGCCACAGCGGGTGTCAATCGCGACAACAATGATAAGATATTCATACGTACTTCATTGATAAGATATGTACATATGTATTACACGGGGAGACAGGGAAATGGAAAGTGTGCGTCTTCTACGGGGTTGTAGTGTGGTGGTGTGTGTGTTGTGGGGGGCTCTCAAAACTAGGTAGCTATGCGAAAGATTCTTTTTTTTTAAAAAAAGCTTCAAGCTTCGTCGATTCGGCACAGTACTTTGGTTAAAGTTGCGCTTTAACTCTTTAGACTTCCTAAAGCAGTTTCAGTGCTATCTCATCACGGTGTGGAACAGGTAATGAACAGTATTAAAATGGGATTTATTTGCATTCCGATTATTATTCTTATGATTGTTTAAGGTTGTTCCTATGCGCGCTCCCGTGTCTAGGCAGCCCGTACTGTACCTGGCGCGGCTACTGCTGCAGTTTCTCTAGGCGCCGCCGGCGAATATATGTCGCTTGTGTTCTCGTCCAGCGCTCCGTCTTCCCCGTCTTCTTCTTCATCGAAATCTCCACCCTCGGAGTTAACCGCCATGCCCTCATCTTCCTCACAGCCTCGAAGAGGAGAGGACATTTTTCCTGTTGCCGGCCCAGTGTATAGGAAATAAAAAAGGTCTTCTCCCGGAATTATGAAATTTATTTAATATTCAAATCGGCCAAAAAAAATGGGGGGCGTTTTGGAATATTTTACACACAAGGCAGAGAAACAAAGATGGCCGCCCTTATATTTATTTTTTAACAACCCCCCCAATAAGAAAAAAAAATCCCCTTACATAAAAAATGGCTGACTATATTATTTCAAAACGCCCCCCCTCCTCTCACTCGCTCTCTCTCTCTCCACTCTCCCCTCCCTCCATTCTGAAAAAAAAAACATACACACATTGTCAAATAAAGGGTGTATTCGTTGCACGTAAATCACATTATCGCGTTGTTTTTTTCATGTGTATTAGCGCTGGTTACTGTCCTTTGTTTCGAGAGCATTCTTATAACCCTCACTCCCCGCACTGCAGAAAGCGATGCGAAATCTAACAAATATGGCTCCCTTCATATCTTTAAAGGCCCCCACCCCGAAATAAAATGATTTAGGAAGAGGGAGCTGGAGGCTGGGGAGAGAGAGAGAGGAGGGGGGGTTATTCGTGCTTACATCAGCTCGCTATATTAAAATGCAACTTCTACATTTCTGCGCCGAAAAGAACAAAAAACACCCAAAGCCAATTTAGCGCGATTTACAGGTTTAAAACCGAAGTTCAGAGTTATCTTCAAATGCAGAACAGAAATATACTTGCAGCGTATGAAAAGTGAAGCCACTTTTTTTGTTCAAATCAAGCACCGAGATGTTATATATCCGATGACTAAATTCCTAGACGTTTGTAGGTTGTTAGTATTAATAATAATGATAGTCGTGAAACTGTGAAAACCTTTAGGTTATAGAGGACGTATTTGTTTTTAACATACACAGGACAGGGGTAATTAACGCGTATATATATTTTAATCAAACGTGCGGCGAGCAGAAAACGACGAAATTGCCTTATTTTATTACGCGTGATGCCTCCGCCGGACTTTTAACTACAATTATTCTGCAGTTCGACTTGTTGTAAAAGCGCTTTGGGATGCTGCTCAACACGACACGTAGACATGGGTGGCCGATTTATTGATGTGATTGAGACGAGCACAGGATGAAGGAGGTGGTGTCTGTAACCATTAAATACAGAAGGCGCCTAAGAGGAAATGAAATACTTAAAACAACTGAAGAAATAGCCATTGAGGGAATTATAATAACTAGTTACATATTTTGTTTTTATTAAAGAATGCCTGGACTCCTGTAAATATATAGCTGTGTTAATGAACTACACCAATATATTTTACACAATTATGGTATCAAATGTAAGCTGGATGAAGGAATAGGGGAAATTAATAATAATACAACTTAATAAACAGTGAACACACTAATACCTCATTTAAAAAAAGCTATAAACTTTGGAAAAACGTTTCAGATACACACAAGTACAGCTCAGACTGCTGCAGCCCGTGTCCTGCTGAGCAGTGAGGAGCCTGTGGGAGTTCACCTCCACGAGAGGTGAGACTGAACACCCAGTGGTTAATCCAAAGCAAGCTGTGTCACGGGAAGCAAAAAAAGAGGTCCAAAATATCTAGACATGTCTCAAAATAACAAGCAGCGCATTTTATTATCACCGAAAAGCAACCCTTGAGAACAGGTCATGAGCTGCGATCATCCAGCTGTGAATAAAGGGGGAGGGAGAGCGAGAGACGGAGAGAGAGAGCAAGGGGAAGGGACAGAGGGATCTGGAGAGGGAGAGGTGGGAGAAGAGAGAAAGAGGCAGGGACAGAGGCAGAGGGGGATCAGCAGCAGCTGGTCAATACATGTCTCAGACTGGAGAGAGATCACAGAGATGGGGCCGGTAGAGCTGGGTGGCTCCCAGGGTCGTGAGACCAGAGCTCAAAACTGAAGCAGTTTCTTGGCGAAGCAGAGAGGACTAACAGGACAGTGGAAGGGGTGTGGACGTGCAGTGGAGCGGAGCTCACAGTTCGGTGAGATCGTCGTTGAAATAGAGACAGATGGACTGTGTGAAAAGGTCCCGGTCCATGCGGAGCTCATAGAACTCCTGATCCTCGTCGGCGATCCCGTTCTCCGACAGCGTCTTGCCCATGTCCAGGTTGACGCCGCCGTATTTCCAGGTGTAACTGGCAGCATGGGAGTTGTAGTTCAGGTAGCGCTGCAGGATTTCCGACATTGTCTCCTCGGAACACACCTGGGACGACAGGCGAGGGAGACAGTCGGGACACCGAGATCTGTGCCGTCACCTGAATCACAGGTTCGAGCACAAAGGGGCCTCCCAAGAATACTCACTGGGGTTACACAAAAAAAACCGTGAAAAACAACCGCGATGCAAATTAAGACTCCCGTTGCACGGCAGTTTGACCCATTTCATATTTTACTAAGTATTCTGAATAAGCAAATCGACAAATAGCTTTAATGTTTTTATCCCCAGGCAACAGTACACGTAAATTAATGCAAAATGCGGGAACAAGCCCAAAATATCCAGCATATATCCAAGAGCTTGCTTTTTTTAAAGAGAAAATGGAATAGTTTTGCTATACAACCTGTGATATGAACACTTTACAGCTCCGAGACTAGAAATACACTCTCTGTACGACACTAGAAATGTCACTGTTTTTTTGTCCTCTTTTTATTTTTTTTTAAATATTACATTTGGAGGTATTCTAGGAAATAAATAGGTGAAAACCGTACTGTCAAAATCATGAGAAATGCCCCTTTTTTTAAATATTGCAGGAACGCCTTGCCAGGCAGCAGTGCGCGGCTCACCTCCAGCATCTGCTCCTGGGAAGTCAGCGTGTTGATGATGCGCACGTGGCGGGTCTTGGCTGACAGGACCCCCACCTCGTAGCAGCCGTCTCTCCACCAGGGGCAGCCGAAGTCGTTGGCCCAGTCGGTGCAGGGCCAAGGTGGAGGCACGTGGACGAAACGCCCACTGGGGGTGTAGTACTTCTTGCAGCCTGACAGGGGGTCGACGTGGGTCCGGATCTGTAGGTGACAAGGTTGCTTTACAAACAGAGGAGTAAGGAGACAGTGAAACAGTGCCTAAGACCTGGACCTAGAAGCAGGTGCTATTGTGTTTCTCTCTGCCTAGCAACCCATAAATGGTTATTATAAATTTATTTGGCTTGCTCGTTTATCCATAGAGACTTACATGTAACCATTTATGCTGCTGGGTGTTTTACTGAAACCTGCCCATGGGTTCAAAACCATTGCTCCAGCCGGGAAATGAACCTACATTCCATTTATCAGTCCAGAGCTCTGAGTACTGTCCTGCATGGTTAGCACCAGCACTGCAGTCCTTCAGCTCCCATTACAGAAGATCAGGTAGCACCTGCACATAGTAATGTAATACTATGCCACTATTGTTCACAGTATGTATGATCCTGTGTGTCAGCCTTAATGTAGAACTTAACACATGAGGTGTTTACAGGTGTTCACAGACAGGTGGGAATGACACTTATCTAACAGACACAAAAAAATCAACTATGTACCCTGAAGAGGCCCAGTTACTGACGTTCTGTTCATCTGAATGAAGAGGGTTGTGAAACCCAGAAGCTGGTTGAAGGCTGATAGCTCTTACTAATCCTTCCAAGATTTTTGACAGCTAAACTAAAATTTCTGATGAGCTCAGCTGGAACAGAAGGGTTTCAAAGGGGCTCCCCTCTGGGACAAGGCCTATGAACTGGTAAATGGCGAAGTCTCATTCACTAGAGATTAAAGACTTTAACCACGGACTATCTTTAGGCTGTGAAAATGCTGCAAAGTACAGTCCCACACTGACATCTACAGGCCAACTTACTTCACTGCAGTGGAGACACAGAAGTGCTGTGCTGAAAACAAGACACTGACCCAGTGAGGCCCTAGCAAACATCAGCAATGGGCACAGTCTGGCCATTTTATGAGGACCTCAGAGAACAATCTGTTGCTTGTTTCTTTTTTTTATAATTTGCAATCACTCTTTTTACAGTTTCCTTTATTTCTTAATCCCTCTGAATCAGGAATTCCCGTCTGTTAGTCTACTGGGATCCCGTATGGGGAGGGTGTGGACAGCGCACTTTCCTCCTCCCGTTGAGCCACCTGCGCGGTGAGACAGGAATGCAGGTTCCACTGTTGAGAGAAGCAGTGATCTTTGCAAACAGCAAAGATCTGCCCTACTACAAAATAAGTACAAACATATTGAGTTCAGCCAGCAGCCATATCACCCTGCAACTCATAACTGGCAACCCACTGAAGCTCAGCAGGTTGCTGAGGAAGGTTGCTGCTGGAAGAGGTGTTAGTGGGGCCAGCAGGTGTCACTCACCCTGCGGTCTATGTGGCTCCTAATGCCCCAGTATAGTGACGGGGACACTATACTGTAAAAAAGGCATCGTCCTTCGGATGAGCCATAAAACCGAGGTCCTGACTCTCTGTGGTCATTAAAAATCCCAGGGCATTTCTTGAAAAGAGTAGAGATGTAACCCTGGTGTCCTGGCCAAATTTCCCATTGGCCTTTACCAATCATGGCCTCCTAATAATCTCCATCTATGAAGTGGCTTTTTCACTCTGTTCTCTGCCCCACTGAGAGCTGGTGTGTGGTGAGAGTACTGGTGCACTCTGCTCTCCGCCCCACTGAGAGCTGGTGTGTGGGGAGTGTACTGGTGCACTATGGCTGCTGTCACATCATCCAGGTGGGGCTGCACACTGGTGGTGGTGGAGGGGATCCCCATTACCTGTAAAGCGCTTTGAGTGGAGTGTCCAGAAAAGCGCTATATAAGTGTAAGCAATTATTATTATTATTACCCTTTTAAAGAAAAGCTCCCTCCTTTAAGGAAGACACTAGTACCAGAAGAGCTCCACTCCCCCACCCTACATACTCACACCCTCAATAATGACGATTAATTAAAGGAGTGATTACCCCAACCCAGAGAGGCCTCTGCACTTTCACTTACATCTTTAGTCTTGGGGTTAAACCAGTGGCTGATGTCCTTCCCTGCGGACTCGATGATGGGTTTCAGGAGCACATCGCCTGAGTGGAGAAACGCATGAAGGAAAGGGAGCTTAAAAACTGGGGTGTCCATACCCGCCCCTCGCCCTCTCCTGATTCACCGCAATCATTCTTTTAAACAATTATAAGGAAGGCAATCCGATAAGGCATTTTGTGCGCGTTTTACTACAAGTAGACAATGCGTTACTGAGGTGCACCAGGGTACCCGCGTTTGTGCTGAAAGTTACCCCCAGACGCTTTTAACTTACCCTGGTGCTCCTTCACCAACGGGGTCAAATCGTACACTTTGCCTAAATACGAAACCCATAAATCCTCGACAGTGTTGTGCAAAGAGACTTCGTTAGGAGTGTAATATTTGGGGCGCCGCATCTCCCCTGCAAGGAAGTAAAACAAGTTATGTATGAGCCGTCATGTGTTAAATTGAAACGACCATTACACACGTTTGTATTCACCTAAACAGTATTAATCTTTTTTTTCTTTCTTTAAAACTGGGGGCGCTGCAGAACTGTACACAAAACTTTGTTTCTGTTGCCGTAGCTACGCCAGGCCGGTATGACGACACGCAGGAATTCTGGGATTTGTAGTTCTGTCACCCCAGGTGACGTCTTGAAGACACTTTTATCAAAACAACAATCCGTGGAAAATACGTTTATTTTTTCGTTCTCCATGAATTCAAATGAACTTATAATCCTATTAACTTTAATTAATGGAACGCCTGGTTTGTTTTCAAGTCAATTACGTTCATTTTTCAAATAAGGAAATTGGAGAAAAAAAGACGTGTGACTACGTTTTCAAAACAGACCACCCCGAAGACCTACAAACAAGGCGTCCGCGTCCTTCGTATTTAAATAGACACTACAATACCCACAACACCCTGTGAAAACCCGGATGTACTTTGGTAATTTTTTTTTTAAAAAAAAAAGGTCGCGAGGGTCCGTGAAGGTCTGGAGAGGGGGGAATAAAACCCAGTCAAAAATTAAATGAGTATAAATAAGAAATGGCGGCGGTGAAAGAAGAGAATGGTACCGCAGCTCGTTCGGGGGTGAGTGGCCGTGCGAGTCGGTGGAAATGTCTCGGTGTTAGCGTGCCGGTGGGTGACACAGGCATGCGGGGTGGATTAATGATGGCACGTTTTCGCCCGGAAACGGGAAGACAGCGGAGGGTCGCCGCTGTTTCACCCTGCTCTCGCACTGCCCCCCACGAGTACGGGCCGGGCGAGTGAAGTCTTGGAGTTGGTGCGGTGGCTTTCTAACCTGGGCTCTTGTGCTGTCTTAGGCCTGCTACTTCAGTGCTGACCGCGCGTTTGGTAACCTGCCCTGCTGCGTATTCGCGACTGTTCAGAGGTCAGGGGGACCCCGGATTTATTTTTCAGACCACCTGCTTTAAAGTGTGCCACATTGCATAGCGCGGGTTTCAAAGGGCTGAAGTAATTGGCAGTGCATTATTCAAGTGAAGAAGCTGCAAATCTGGAATGCAATTTACGCTGAAACATTTCCAGAAAATGCCCTAATCTTAATGGCACTGTGACCCTGTGACACCAGTTCAGTCCCCTGCCTGTTCTGTGCATTAACTTCACAAGATCATGGTATTGCCCTGATTTATACCAAAATTACTTTACAGCTTGGTGCTTTACCTGGAACTCTCTAGCCTTTACCATGTTTTTAGCCTGATCATGCCTTGTCCACCACGTCGTCATTGTGCTTGACTCCTCTTTGGCCTTGATCTTGCTGGACAAAGGAGGCGGTCCTAAGCAAGGCTCACTCACCCATTGGCTGCCCCGTGTCCCGCAGGGGGAGGAGTCCACGTACACGCTGGCCTGTCAGAAGCTGGAGAACCTGCTGAACAAGAGCATGCGCATCCGCATGACGGACGGGCGCACGCTGGTGGGGCTGTTCCTCTGCACTGACCGCGACTGCAACGTCATCCTGGGGTCCGCGCAGGAGTTCCTTAAATCCACAGGTACCGCCTGTACCCCCCCGTTTTTGTCAGGCAGCTGCGTGGGGGGCGTTTGGGGTTAAGGCTCTGGACTAGTAACTGGGAGACTGACCTGGGATTTGAACCCACAGCCACTGCTGTTGCACCCATGAGCAGGGTATTTAACCCATGTCTTCCCGTTCAAAGTCGTTGGGGGGGCTGCAGCCAATCCCAGTCAGCAGCGGGCACAAGGCGGGGTACACCCTGGACAAGGCGCCAGTCCATGGCAAGACACACAGAGACACCAACACACACACACACATGTGCGGGCCAGTTTTCTCAGAAGCCAGTTAACTAAGGTTGCTGCTGGAAGAGGTGTTAGTGGGGCCAGAAGGGGGCGCTCACCCTGCAGTCCATGTGGGTCCTAATGCCCCAGTATAGTGATGGGGACACTATACTGTAAACAGGCGCCGTCCTTCGGATGAGACGTAAAACCGAGGTCCTGACTCTCTGTGGTCATTAAAAATCCCAGGGCGTTTCTCGAAAAGAGTAGGGGTGTAACCCCGGTGTCCTGGCCAAATTTCCCGTTGGCCCTTACCAATCATGGCCTCCTAATAATCCCCCTCTATGAATTGGCTACATTACTCTGCTCTCCTCCCCACTGATAGCTGATGTGTGGTGAGCGTTCTGGCGCACTATGGCTGCCGTCGCATTATCCAGGTGGATGCTGCACACTGGTGGTGGTGGAGGGGAGTCCCCATTACCTGTAAAGCGCTTTGAGTGGAGTGTCCAGAAAAGCGCTATATAAGTGTAAGCAATTATTATTATTATTATTAACTTACCAGTGTGTTTGTGGACTGCGGGAGGAAACTGGAGCACCCGGAGGAAACCCACCCAAACTCGGAAAGAACATACAAACTCCACACGGATAGCACCCCAGGTCTGGAATTGAACCCAGGGCCCTAGTGCTGTGAGATAGCAATGCAAACCACTGCAACACCATTCCGCCTTTCACCCATCCTGCTCTATTTAAATAGAGGGATGATTTTGGCAGCACAGCAGTAACTGCTCATGACTCATCTTTTTCCGTGTAGTTAATAAAAATGACTCCTGAGATGTTAACCGTGAAAGAAAACACTCCAGTAATGTAATGGACACCTGCAGCAAATGCCTGAGAACTGTAACGGGGAGTTTGAGATGACCATAATGCACATTCTGGATACTGTTCAGGTTAGCCGTGTTTTTTTTCTTCCTGCCCTCTGTTCTCTGCTCTTCCTTTCAGACTTGTTCTCCCAGGGCGAGCCCCGCGTGCTGGGCCTGGCCATGATCCCCGGGCACCACGTGGTGTCCATAGAGGTGGAGGCGGACAGCCTGGCGGGCTCTCAGGGCTTCTAAAAGGCTCGTCGCAAGCCGTCACCTGGAGCTGGCGGACTGAACGGGAGAGGACAAGGCAGCACAGGGCCAGGCCAGCTGGGAGGGACGGGGGCTGGCCTGCTGGGTGGAGGGAGGGATGGTTTTGCTGGGTGGTTGATCCTGATATGGTTGTTGTCTGCGTTCCAAGGACTAGGCTCTTTCAGACGGGATGAAGTGAGCCCGTAGAACACTCTATTTGCTGCACGTGGAAGCACGCAAAATGGAAAAACAAAAATGACACAAACTGCACCCCCGGCTTTGGTGGCCTCGTAGTCTGCCCAGTGTCGCCCCTTCCTGGAGCGGATTCTCCGGCTGATGGGCACATGGGGCGGCGAGGAGAGGAGCTGGGCGCTTCTGGGATGAGCTGCACACACACACACACCCAGACTGCGCGACAGGCCGCAGCCGCCAGGGCCGCAGTGAAGAAGCCATGCGTCCTTGGGATTGTTTTTTTTTTTATTTTGGGGCTTGCTCAGAGGCTTGACGTTAACTGATTTTATGGATTAAAAACGTTTGCTTTTCCTGGCCTTGATGCATTGACTCGTACGCTCTTGCCTTCTTGGAGGCTGGGCCTGTTTTCAGGACAAGGCACCACTCGGTCATGAGGCAGTTTAGGATATTTAACTTTGGAGATGAGCATGTCAGTGTCAGGTGGCTATTCTACTGCTTCCAGCACATACTGTACACTGCTTGCAGGAAGTGAGCGCTGTACCCGCATTTCTGCAGGTGGGGGTAAGCTGTCCTGAACACTACTGAGGAAGTTTCATTTTTAAGATTATTGGTATCAATGAAATGTTCCTTTTAATTGGCTTTATATATTCATAGGAACAAGCAATAGGTTTATTCCATGCTCAAAAGAGGAGAAAGAAAACACGTTTCGGCTGTGAAGCCTTCTTCGGGTGTAAGCTTGTTCCTTTGCAGCCTGCGCATGCTGACGCAGCAACCCACCTGAACTATATATATTCATATACATATTGATCAGAATATTGAATGTCTTAGCTTTCAGACACTGGAATCAAGTGCTAGTAGAGGTCCCACACATTCTGTGGTATGATAGGGTGGGTTCCAAATGTTTTAGCCAATAAGTGTAATGACATGCTGAGAACTGTCCATTTCTGCTAGGGCAGGAGTTCCCAGCTCTCAGCCCCGGAAAGCACTGAGCTGCAGGATTTAGGTCTCGAAGTTGGCAGCGTCTTAAGAGCTGGGGGGAAAAGCTGTCAAACTGCTCCACTTAAGCTGATCATCAGCTCAGATATCTCATTAAGCCCTGTGTTGGAATGGTAGGCCAGAGGAATGTGTACAGGAATCCCTGTGCTGGGGAATCTGGAGAACAGCCCCGTCTTCTCTGGCCAATTCTCAATTTCTATTCATTTTTTTGCGACAAACTAAGACTGGGGTCTCCTCTCCGGATTTCAAACATACCCATTTATTTCTTTTCTTGTTCAAAAAGGTGGGCTGATGGTGGGATCTGCAAATTATACAACCCATATTATGTGGCACACTGCAGTACAGGGGCTGTCAAAGCACAGCACTGAGTCTAAGTGAACCCATCGTCTTGTTCAAGGTCCGATTGAAAAAGCTCTCCCGCGCTAGTATGAAGGAAAGGTCGACAGTGTTGCTGCTCCCTGAGAAAAGTGTTTGTGAAGTTCAACGACAGCACATCTGTTATCTAAAACATTACTAGGGTGCTTGTACAATTTTTAAAAAAGTTACAGAATCTCACTTGGCAGGAGGACACCTCCACAAGATTCCACCCCCTGTCCTTGTTTCCATCTTGACGTTGGGCAGGTTCAGGTTCTGCTTCCTGTCGGCATCAGGTGTTCGCTCCAAACAGACCCTCCCTGAGACTTAGTTTTGCTGGGTTCTGTCAGTTTTTCTGTCAGTTTTTTTCAAAAAAAAGCTCTAAATCTTTGAAAAGTTTTTTAGTACAGTAATGACATTGTTTTCTGTTTGTTGTCCTCATTACAAAAAGCTATTGGTATCAGCTCTTTGCAATTCACACAGGTCTCGTTCACATCCTGCTGTACTTATCTGAACCCCAAATTAATTCTAGAATTTGCTAAATGAATCTTCAGCATGGCAATTACATAACTGGTATTTGACATCCAAGAGCTGTTATGAAATTAGAAACCAAGGTGACCTTGTGGCACTCTGCCTCCTCCAAAGTCCTCTGGGAAGGCAAAGTCTTCCTTCAACACAAACTGCAGGTTAAAGCCAAGGACCAGAGATAAGCAAAGCAAAACCTTCCCTCAGACATTTTTTTATTAATAAGTTCTTTAAATTTTGTCTTCCTTCCTCTTTTTATTTCTGCAGTTTCTATGGAGTGTAAACAACAACAAAAAACAAGGGGGGGAATAAGATGTTTTGACAGCTGATAGCCCCACTCTCCATGCACGCCATGGTCACGATCTGGCAAAGAATGAGTGAGCCTTAAAAGACAAACAAGCAAGAGAAACCAATCCAATATTAAAAATGGAACAAATCAGAAGAGTGGTACAAAGTGCGCTGTAGGCTTCAGAGGTGAAAGACTTCCATGGAGTAGAGAGGGACACAAAATGATGAAACAAAAGCAAATTAAAAAATCAAAATTCCTTGATGGGCCCCATCAGCGGGTGCCTGGCTATGTGAGAGTTGGGGGTGGATCCCCAATACGTGACGTTTGGCATTTCCGGTTCGGAGCTGACTCTGGCTGCTTTCGCGTGTCTATCCAGAAAACAACAACTTTGGGGCTCTTATTGGAAGGAGGACCCAAAAACCAACACCAGCTGCTCTCCCTGCCCGCCCCCGCCACCTCCATCATTTCACTGCCCGCCCAGAATTGTCCGACTATCCTGTGCCCCAAGAGCCCCAAGTCCAAAAAGGTAAAGTGCAGCCACACCCCTCCCGCCCAGTCCCGTCCCCCAAACGCAGTTCCTCGGTCCAGTCTAGTTGTAATGGAACTTGAAGTGGAAGTTCCCGGATCGGAAAGGGTTGAACTCGAAGGGCCAGTCGCCGTGCCCGTGGCCGCCGCCGCCCTGCTGGTTCTCGGGGTCCAGGGGGTCCTCGCCCGCGTCGAACTTCTGCCGCATTTCTGTGCGGGGAAAGAGCACAGCCAGTGCTTTGTACAAATCGCGGTATGATCGGTACAGACGGGTGCGGACACCCCTCATTTTTCTTCCCCGTTCCTTGTACCGTGTGCCGCATACCCACATGCAACCCTGAGGGATCTTCAAAATATGTCAAGGGGATCCCCCAAAATACACAAGCACTGTCCACCTCCCAAATTCTAGCAGTGTACAAGGCAGATCTGCAGTGACAAAGCCTACAGTGAATCTGCTGACCTGCAGTTTTGTTTTTGCATTTTGTTTACATAATTACAGGTGTAGGTGTGGTTTAGTTAAACTGGGGTCCTCAGTAAGGGCCATTTCTTCAGAGGGAATCCTTCAGACAGAGAAGGTTGAAACCCTCTGGGTTAAGACTGCAGTTTCAGCTTGACTTTCCACTTGAAGCCCTTGGAAAACTGACCAACTCACATTCAATCAAGATGAAATCTACAGTCAGCTTCCCTGTTTTTACAACAAATAAACGGAATGCCATGGAGACCTTCAATTTATAGCTTGGATAAAAAAGATTGGAGATTAATATAAAAAAGATCCTGTTGCAAACAGATAGCAAGTGGGTGAAAACTAAAAGCAATGCGATAAATGAGAAATAAATCTGGATATGCATCCAGATGCATCAAGTTACCCCTTAAGATGAGATCCTGAACTGAAAACTCAATGTTATACATAACTCTCAAGAGGTGTCAACTCTCCTGTGACCTGAAAGTAATACCCTACTACTTCCATTAACTGTCCCCTCAAAAGATAACCAGGAAGTAATATCCTCCCACTCCCAAACACCTTATACTGTACAAGAACTGCTGTAGGGAACTAATATAGTTCTAAGTACTAAAATACAGTGCCACTTTTTAAATACATATTTCTCTTAGTATGCGTTTTTGCTTTTCTCCAGCTCCTACGCTCCCACATTTTACCTTCCAGTTCTTAAACTGGATTCTCAGCGGGGCAGGAAATGAGCCATGAATCACAAAGAGACCGAGAAAACAAGTTGAAACTGAAGCACCAGCAAGACTTACCTGGGTCTGTCAAGACCTCTTTGGCTGAGGCGATGTCAATGAACTTCTTCTCTGCCTGCTTCTTCTCCTCCTCGCTCTGGAAGTTATCTGGATGCCACTGCTGTGCCAGTTTCCTGTAGGCCTTGATTATTTCCTGCTTGTTGGCGTTTCTGCATTGAAGATAAATACAGATACACACTGGAGTCCTCTGTACATCTCCAACAGGATACAGCATAAAATCTAGTCTAATGCACTGCGCTTCATAACAAAACAAACAGGGAAACGAGGACAGAAGTAATAACGATTAGTATTTTGCTGTCAGGTGGCCAGAAGACCTTTTAAACCTCACCTTTTTTGCTGCGCTCACAGCTACAAATGGCACAATAATGTTCCCCCTTCACAGTTTTCGTCAAAGCAAGGTGAACTAGAGCCCCTGCACAGAGAGCCCAGACCGCAGTACCTGTGCACGCCCAGGATCTTGTAGTAGTCCCTCTTGCGGGACTGCTTCAGCAGCTTCTGAGCGCGCTCCAGCCCCTCCCTGATCTCCTGGTTGTCCCCATCCATCTCCCGCGCCTCCTGGTAGTCCTCCACCGCTGAGAGGCACACAGAGACACGGAGAGAGAGGTTAGGGGCGCGGTCAGGGCTCTCGACCGCGGACCAGAGGGCCGTGGGTCCAAATCCCAGCTGGGCTGCGGCTGTGGCACCCTTTCCTTCCACTGCTCCCAGCCAATGCCCTGCCGAAGCCCAGGAACTTCCTCTCCCTCCACTAATCTAGTTAGATCAGATGTCTGGGTTTCCTTACAGAAGGGGTTGTGTCTGCACAAGAGTATTGCAGGTGACATTTATCCCAGCAGAGTGAATGGACAAGCAGGGAGAGAAGCTGGGTACCTTTCTCGTACTCCTCGTTCAGGATGAAGGCCTCCGCCCGGTCTCGCAAGATTAATATGTTGCGGGGGTCCCTCTGGTGGGCCTCCGAGCAGATGTCTATCGCCTCTGGCGCTTGCCGATTCTGGAAGGGGGACAAGAGCAAGTTCTAACAGTGACGCACACTGATTCCTCTTTGTGACCAAGACAGGTAGTTACAAGAGGGCTGGACAATTACAATTGCTCATCCCTGTCATCCTGTACTGGTAGAGAGAGAGATAACAGCAACATGCCGGTACTCTCTCTACCACAGTTACATTATCTCTTTCTCTCTTAAGAGTGGAAGAGGTGGATACTTTCATTCATGCGATGCACAGACACCCAGCCTCTCTGGTCCGAGGCAGGTGGAGGAAAAGAGAGAGACAGGGTTACAATGCTCGTGCTCTGTGTGTACTATCAGGCTTGCGTCCGAGCCTCTGGCATCTCTCACCCTGGACAGGCAGTGACAGATCCTCTCCTTGGCCCTGGTGGTGTAGAAGGGCACATTGGGCTCCGTCTTCATCACCGACTCATACTTCTCTATGGCCTCCGGGTACCTGAACAGCACAGAGGACAAGGTGAGAAGACTGAAGCTGAAGAACAAGCACATCTATAAATGTACACACCGGTACCTCCAGGGTTTCATCATTTCTGACACAGCTGCAAGTCACTTAATCAGAGGTTCACATAGGCTTCAGGCTTGTGTTATGCGACTTTCAAAATCCAACTTGCCGATAATAATCCTAACATTTACACAGCGCTTTTCTGGACACTCCACTCAAAGTGCTTTACAGGTAAATGGGGACTCCCCTCCACCACCACCAGTGTGCAGCCCCACCTGGATGATGTGATGGCAGTCAAACTTTACCAGTACTCTCCCCACAGTGGAGTGATGAAGCCAGTTCACAGATGGGGATTATAAGGAGGCCATGATTGGTAAAGTCCAGGGGGGAAATTTGTCGAGGACATTGGGGAAACACCCCTACTCTTTTCAAGAAAAGTACTTGAATTATTAATGACCAGAGAGTCAGCACTTCAATTTTACATCTAATTGGAAGAATGGCTCCTTTTTTTTTTTTTTTACAGTATAGTGTCCCCATCACTATACTGGGACATTAGGACCCACACAGACCGCAGGGTGAGCGCCCCCTACTGGCCCCACTAACACCACTTCCATCAGCAACCTTAGTTTTTCCCAGGAGTCTCCCATCCAGGTACTGGCCAGGCTCACACCTGCTGAGCTGTGAGTTGTAGGGTGATATAGCTGCTGGAAAGCAATGAAGGGGCGACTCCCCCCCCCCTCTGAAGGAGCGCTCCCCTTCCTTCCTCCGCCCCCTGACCAGAGCAGAGCAGGCCGAGACCCCCCCGACCCACCTGCTCTCGGAAATGAGCTGCTCGGCCGAGTCCAGCTGCTTGGAAAGCTTCTTCACCTGCTTGTAGTGGGAGAAACACTCCCTGTCGTCCTGGTCCAGCTTCAGACACTCCCGCACCTGACTGGAGGGCAGAGAGACGGGAGAGGCCGGGTCAGCCCACAGCGAGGCGGGCCGGACGCCCCGGGGGGAAGAGACGCCGGAGCAGCGGGGGCGGCGGCGGCGGCGCGTCCCGACCTGAGCGAGTCCTCGTGCTCCCCGAGGCTGTAGTGCAGGCGGCTGAGCTGCAGGAAGGCGGCCCGGTTGTCGTTGCGCAGGCGGGTGGTGGGCGCCAGGTCCTGGATGGCCTTCCGCGTCTCTCCCAGCTTCATGTAGCAGTCCGCCCGGAGCTCCCTGGACTCGGGGTCCCAGGGGGACAGCTGGGGGGCAGACCAGGGGGTTAGTGCATGCGGTGGGGGAGGGAGAACCAGAGACGGGACGACCGGGACAGGGTTGCCCGGGGGAGAAGGAGAGGGTACCCGGAAGACACCCCCAGCCCCCTACCTCGATGACCCGCTCCAGGACCCGCACGGTGCCATGGTAGTCCCCCCGCTGGTGGGCGTGGTGGGCCTCCTCCACCAGCGCGTCCAGCTCGTCCGCGTGCGCCAGCTGCGCCCGAGCCTCCTCATGCCCAGGGTTGCCCCGAAGCTGGAGGGAGGGGAGAGGGGGTCATGGGAATGGGAAAGGGGTTCTCTCACAATTATCAAAGGGGAATCGCAATGCTATTTTTGTATTTCGGGATAAGAAAGAATCAGCGATGATGAGTGCATCTCAAACTGCAATAAAAGTAAAATGGACACAGTAACATGTTACACCTCCAATTTACATCACAAAATACACTAAATTTCCAGGTATGCGCAGCGCCATGTTGTGCGATTCAGATCGAGGCAACAAAACCTCCGGTCGCGTGTTGAGGCCCTGTGACATTGTAAACAAGCAGGCTTGTGAATACACCTCTTTTAGTCCAATAGAAATATTGCTCTCGGTGTCAAGACGGTTTTGCCGACAAATACTGCTCGTTAACTCTGCATGCAGATCACGTTGGAACATTTCTGCGGTGAAATGTCTGCTGCACAGCTTGTATTTATTCACTTGTGCTTCACATGACATCAGTCATTACAGTGACTAGTGAGCAGGAAGGGCCGCATCATTCGTGGGAGCTCGAATGCGAGTTTGCATCAACGTGGCGACTTACAGTAGTTTCACAATGTTCACAATTTTGTGCTTAATTCGAAATTCGTAATTTTTTTCTAAAACGTGAATTTATTTCGTTATGGTGATTTAAAAGCCGGTCTGAGAAATTGGGACTGCACTCCCCCTCGGCACCGCTGCTTTTCACAACGGGACAGGCCCGCCCACATGTGAAGGGAGGTTAAAGAATGACCCAATCCGCACAGCGGTACCGCAGGCAGGTGACACCACTCACCACAGCCTCGAAGTCCTCCCGGGCCTCCTGCGTGCTGCCCTGCTTCAGGAAGATGTTGCCCCTCTGCAGCCGGGCCTGGGGGAGAGACCGCGGGACGCGTGAGCACATGGTGGAAGTTCCTGAATTAACCGATCTGCAGTCTGGTAGCAGTAATGATGAGGGTGCTGTACAGATGCCAGCCAGTGCTCTTGAAAGCACACAAACGACAGTTCCTGAAGTCTGGATTCGTCTTTCTCACAGCCCTCTCTACAGCCATGTTTCATCACAGGTTTAAGGCTCCACAGCTTTGATTAGAAGAGAAACTGAAGACAACAAATACAGGCACCTCTACACTTTTCAGAAATGCAAAAACATTAAGAAACCAGACCCCTGTCCTCCAAACAACCACTGATTCATGGTTGGAATGATAAAGGACACCTAAACGGCAACTCAAGCTTTAAAGAAGCCTATCTGTTTCAGACTCACCGCCAGGAAGTCTGGCTTCAGTTCGATGGCCTTGGAGAGGTCTGGGAGGGCAGATTTGGACTTTCCCATGGCCAGGAATACAGCGGCCCGCTTGTAATAGGTCAGGTAGTTCTTAGAGTCTCCCTCTGCAACAAAGCACAGCCACACAGCTAGAACCTGAGGCTGATTTCATCAAGGCAGTAGCGTGGGGACTGCGAATAACGAACTGCAATCACAACTGGATACTCTCCAGGTTTTCAATATAAATTGAGACGTTTACGTTTCATTAAAACTGAGGTCACAATTAGGCTTACCTTAAAATGTTCACATCGATGCCTATTTATGACCTCCCTAGTAATATCTGAAAATTGCAATTACTAATCTACTTGCTTGTATTGCATCCTGTAACAGTGTAACTCATCGCATTAGGGTTAGTTATGTATCCTGCAGTGTAATAGTTGAACACTGAAGTGTGCACATGTGTGTTGTACTCACCCACAGCAGAATGGTAATGGGACAGGGCCTCGGCCAACTGCCCAGCAGCCAGCAGCTTGCGCCCCATCTCCAGGTGGTGCTCGATCTCCACATGGCTGGCACCCAGCACGCCTGAAAAACAGCCAGGAGAGACAAGCCGATCAGCAGCACCCGAAACACAGTGAGGGGAGACAAGCCGATCAGCAGCACCCGAAACACAGTGAGGGGAGACAAGCCGATCAGC